GGGCCCTCGGCCGGACAGTTCAGCGTCATCGTCATCGAGCAGGGGGGGACAGCGCAGGGGACGGCCCAGGGGTCACCCCAGGGGTCACCTCAGGGCGCACGGCCACAGGGAAACGTCCCCGTCAAGGTGAGTGTGCCCCGGACCCCCGGGGTCACCTGTGCCACTTCATTGTCACCTGTCCTTCTGCAGCGTCACCTGTGCCACCCCAGTGTCCCTTGTCCCCCTCCAGTGTCCCCCTGTGTCCCCCTGCCCCCTCCTAATATCCTGCCCCTCCCCGTGTACCCTCCCCGTGTCCCCCTGCCCCCCCGTGTCCCCTCCCCGTGTCCCCCTGTTGCTCTCCAGTGTCCACCTCCGTGTCCCCACATCCCCTCCTCACGTCCCCTTGTCCCTCTTCCCCATGTTCCCTCCCTGTGTCCCCTTCCCCTGTCCCCCCCATGTCCCCCCACATCCCCTCTCACCTTTTCCTTCCCTCCCTCCCTCCCCCAGGAGGAGCCTCAGGAATTGGCCATCGGGGACCCCGGGGACACCAAGCCCGTGGGGCTGCTGCCCCCTCCCGCCGTGGGGGGTGTCCCCACGGAAGGTGTCCCCACGGAGGGGGGTGTCCCCACGGAGGGGGGTGTCCCCGTGGGGTGGAGCTGCCGGGTGTGCGGCCGCGCCGGGGCCGTGGTGATGTGTGACCGGTGCCAGCGCTGCTTCCACCTGCAGTGCCACCTGCCCGCCCTGCTCGACGTGCCCAGGTACGGCGCCCGGGGAGCCACTGGGATCCACCAGGATCCACTGGGATCAACCGGGATCCACCGGGATCCACCGGAGTCTGTGGGGACCTTTGGCACCTCCCTGGGATCCACTGCCCCTCGTCACCTCCCTGATCCCCGTGGGAATCGTCCCACTGACCCCAAACCTTGTGGAATGTCCGGTCCCTGTCTGTGATCCCTCTGGGAATCCCTCCGGCGACCCCAAAACTTGTGGGATCTCCTGCCCCTGATCCCTCTGGGAATCCCCCGCTGAGCCCAAACATTGTGGAGGCTTCTTTCCCCTTCCCTGATCCTTGTGGGAATCCTGTCGCTGGCCCCAAACCTCCTGGGATCTCCCATTCCCAATGGCTCCCCCTGGATCCAGTGGCTCCCCATTCCACAGCTCCGACTGGACGTGTTCGCTGTGCCAGGAGCTCCCCCCGCCCTCCGAGGCCCCCCAGGGCCAGGGAATCCCCCCCCGGCTGAGCCCCCTGGACCAGCAGGTGAGTCCTGGGGGAGTGGATTCGGGGGGATCCCGAGGGATCTCGGGGGATCCAGGGCTGCCCTCCTTCTCCCCCCCCAGAGGTGTGAGCTGGTGCTGCTGGAGCTGCTGTGCCACGAGCCCTGCAGGGCCCTGCAGCGCCCGCGCGGCCTCGCGGTGAGTGGTGGGCTACCGGGGGGGCTAGGGGGCTACTGAGCCATGGGAGACCACCATGAACACTTCAGGGGCTACTGGAGGGCTACTGAGCCCTGGGGACCACCATGAACACATCAGGGCCTCCTGGGGTTTGGTGACCTCCTTGTGGAGCTTGATGCTCAGGGGAGGGGTTTGGTGGCCCAAGCAGTGGTTTGGTAGCCCCAGGGCACATTTGAAGGCCCAAGCAGGGATTTAGTGGCCCCAGTCATGGTTTGGTAGCCCCTGACCCCGTTTGGTGGCCACAGGAGGGGGGTCCCGCCCTGGACCTGACCCTGATGAGGGCGAAGCTGCAGGAGAAGCTGAGTCCCCCCTACAGGACCCCCGAGGAGTTCGCCAGGGACGCCTGGAGGGTCCTGGGGCAGCTCCAGGGGACCACCGAGGTCTGGGGGGGTCCCTGGGGGGACCTGCGCAGTGTCTGGGGGTCCCTGAACGTCCCTGGGGGGGGTCTGGGGGTCCCTGTGGGCATCCCTGGGGGGGTCTGGGGTGGCTTGGTGGTTCCTCTGGGTGTCTGAGAGGGTCTGGGGGTGGTCTCTGGAGGGGTTTGGGGGTCCCTGGGGAGGTCTGGGGGTCTCTCTGGGGTATCTGGGGGTCCCTGAGGGGGTCTGGGGGGAATCCCTATGGGGGTCAGGGGGTGTCTCTAGGGCTCTCACCCTCATGTCCCCCCAGGACAAGGCGGGGGTCTCTGAGGGGTCTGGGGTGTTCTGGGGGGTCCCTGCAGATCTGGGGGTCTCAGAGGGGGTGTCCAGCCCCCCTGACCTCCCGTGTCCCCCCCAGGACAAGGTGGGGCTGCAGTCCCTGCTGAGCGTCCAGAGGTTCCTCGAGAGCTGCCTGAGCCGCATCTTCGGGGACAGGAAATTCTGGGACCACCCAGGGACCCCCCCACAGCCTGAGCCCCCTCCCCAGGGGGGCTGGGACCACCCGGGGTCACCCCCAGCATCCTGGGACCCCAATTCGGCTACTCCGGGGTCCTGATCCCCCTCCCTGGGGTCCTGAAACCCTCCCTGGGACCCCAATCCCCCTCCCGGGGGTCCTGAAATTCCCCCTGGGACCCCAGTTTCTCCTCTTTGGGACCCCAATCCCCCCTCCCAGGACCCCAATCCCCTTCACCAGGGTCCTGATCCCTCCTCCGGGACCCCAATTCTTGCTCCTTGGACCTATAAAACCGCTCCCGGTCCTTCTTCACTGTGGGTCAGGATTTGCCTGGCTGTGACCCCGTGGGAGGCCCAGGATGGAGCGGGGTCCTGGCAGGGACCTGCAGGCCGTGGAGAGGGAAGCCCAGGATGGACTCACGCCAGAGGGGACTCCAACTCCAACTCCTCTGCCTGAGCAGCGGCAGAAACAACAACGGACTGTGACCCCCATTCCCCGTCCCCCTGCACCGCTGGGGAGGAGCAGGGAGGATATGGAAGGAGAAGTTTTATTTCTCACTCTTTGGGTCTTATCCTGTTAGTAATAAATTTCAGTACCATCCCCACTTGGAGTCTGTTTTGCCCGTGAAGGTGATGATCAGTCACTCATCTTTCCCAGCTCTTATCTGGACTCATGAATTCTCAGTTGTTTTTCCTTCTGTCTTTGTCCAGTTACAGAGGGGAGAGTGAGAGAGTGGCTTTAATGGGTACCTGGTATCTGGCCAGGGTCAACCCACTACAGAGGGCAAACTGGTCCCAGTACAGCCCCCCCAAAGATGGCGGCGCCCATGGCCAAGATGGCGGCGCCCAGCAGAAGGAAGGGCCTCAAGCTCCGCCCCCACGCGCGGGGATTGGTCGGTGGGGCCTGAAATTGCCGAAGTTTTCCGGAAAGAGCCGAAGGCACGAGCGGGGCCGCGCCCGGTTCGTCCCGGAGGGTCCGGCCCCGCCCCCTTTTCCGGGACAACCCGAGTTGTTCCGGAAAGAGACGAAGCGACCCCGGAACGGGCTGAGCTCCCCCCCCGAGCGGCTGAGGAAAGAGCGGAAGGGCCCCGGATCCCCTTCCACCCCCCCCGGGCCTGGAGACCCCCGAGGCGGCTCCTAAACTTGCCGAGCGGCTCCGGAGGGTCCCGAAGCGGTTCTGGAGGTTCCCGAAGGGGCTCCGGAGAGTCCCGAAGTGATTCGCAGGTCGTTCCGGAACTTCCCGAACCGGTTCC